TGCCTGTCTGGACAGCAGCATCTTTTAAGGTATTATTATCACAGACGTATTTGTGGTACCACAAATTTCAGTTTCCTGCTCTTCATAGTGTGCCCATATGTGGAGAGCCTAACTCAAATTCCTTGGTTTTGCTGCCCCCCAAACCATGCCCAAGCCAAAATCCTGCTAGGACCAGTCTCACAGTTTTGTAACACAGAATGAGTGCCAATGCCTAGAATCACCCCTCAAATTAAATTTTCCAGCACAGATATAGTAATTGAGGTCAGAGATGGCTGATGTTTGCTTAAATAGGTCCAGAATTCATGCTGATAAGTGAGATGGTGTTTTGGGGGGTTTGTTGACATGGTTGCTTCAAATGGAACTTGATGTTCTGCACTGTTCAAGCTGAATTATCCACTGATTTTGATTACTGTTAATAAAGAGTAGAGTTTGTTAGCTTTGTAGCTGAATATACAAACAGCACAAGGTTATATGAAGCAACTCAGTTTGTCATAAATTAAAGCAATGAGTTCCAAAGCTCTGAGTCAGAACCTGCAGTGTTAGGGGACTAAAACTGGATTATTGATATTAATAGCATAAAATTAAAATATGGTAGAAAATTACTGGGAAGAAATTTTTTTATTATTCAAGCTATTTATATAGCTTGAAAAAGATAATTTAATAATTAATTAGTTTATTACTAAATAAAAACATAATAACTTGATGAGAAGAAAATTATTAAAATTCATTTTTAGTTGTCAGAAACTGCAATTTCTCAACTAGAAAGAGGGTCAACTAACTAAAAAGAGGCTTCTCTTTTCAATTGTTTTGCAGTCTTAAAAGTTTGCTAGTGACTTAGCTGACTTTGATAAAGAAGCAGACTTTTTAAAATTAATTTTCTGCCCTGATAGTGTAAATGAGAAATGCTTTTCAACATTTATACCTTCTGTATAAAAAATAATGGAGCAATTAATTTTTAAAGCGTTTAAGTGTTTTTAAGTGTACTTCTCATTGTCGTTTCGTGTTGTTGACGGTATGTAAGCATTCCACTAAGGACCTTTAGGGACCTCAATTAAACAAAAATTGCTACATGCTGTTCAAATTGTAGTTTTACTACGTGACTGAGTTACTAGGGTGTAGATTCAGTGCTGCATCACTGGAGTGAGGTACTAAAATCAGAACTGTTCTTTTGAAAAGTCTGGAACCATCCTTCCTGAGCCAGAAGATTGAGCTCTCCCACCAAAGGCCGCACGATGTCCCTACAGAGGTTCTGTGTCACTTTTCAGAGTGCAAACCCTTTTCAGGTTGGAGGCAGTTAAATAGTATACATGAACTCCCTGGCTTCTCGTTGCCTATTTCTGAGAGTTTTGCTTTCTTTGCACTGTGACCCCCAGTGCAGACACGTTTCCTTGTGCTGAGCTCCCTGTGCATTACCTATCTAGGAGCAGTGGCAGGAACAGAGTTTTAGAATAGTGGTGTAATGGCTAGGCCAAGAAATGCCTAGGAAAAGAAATGTTTCAGGAAGTGGATTTGGATCTAAACATAGTGTGGGGGTTTGACCCCAAAAATCCAATCTCCAAGCTCCCCCACAATTTGCCTCAACATGGAAGTTTTCAGACAGGCACAACTCAGTACGAGGGAACTATATCAAAATTTATTACTAACACAATAAATACTATAGAAACTAAAAAGCAAATAAATAAAGAGTACTAATACAATTTCTACCACCCCTGGACCCTCCCACATCAGTTCAGGAGAAGTTTTCATGGCGATAGTTAAAGTCTCTCTCTCATTGGGGTATCAGGGAAGGGGCCTTTGAACCCCCACCAGTCCCTCAGCTTCTGCTGAGGTCTCCTCCTGGGCTACAAGGGAACATTTGCTTTACTAGGTCTTCATCACGAAAGTCCAGGGAGCCAGCTTTTGAATTCTTTCTCCCTGGTTCATGAAGGTTCCTCCCAGAGAGTAAGATGTTCACTTTCCCTCTCCAGGTTGCAGGTTTCTGGGTCTTGCTTAGTCTTTTTACCCCAAATAGTTTTCACCGAAAGTCCTTACCCAGAAAAAGACTGCTTGGTTTGGCTTCTCTCTGTTACAGCTGCTGCAGCTTCTCAGCTTCCACGTGTTGCGGGGAGGCATTCCTCCCCCTGCATTCTTCTTTCTGTTTTCGGCTGCCCTCGCCCAAACCTCACGTACCTCCTCCTCCGAGCCTCTCAGCCCGTCTCCCATTTTGCTTCAGTCTCAGCTCAAGGTCACTGCCTCTCCCCTGCCATTATGGGGGGGAGAGGGTAGCAGCGAGACTACTTCAGTCTCTCTCCTCTGCCTGGAGTTCTTCCAGTTCTGCACGACTGCAGCTGCTTCTCCAGGCTCCGGACCACCCGTCGGTCCATCTCTGGTTCGGCTCCAATGCCTCGCCTGCCTGCCGGGGCTAGCTAGCTCCAACTCCCTGGCTGGCCTCTCAAGTCCATGCCACCGCCTCTCCTGGGCAGTGGGGGGGAAAAAAGGCCCCTAACCTTTTGACCACGGGCACTCAGTCCAGTTATAATACTGTCCTGAGCTCCCCTGCAGCCCGGCTGGGGGGGAAGAGGGCCTGCCCCCCCCCCCGCAAGGGGCCCACAGGCCTCCCTCCTCTCATCTCATGGCTCCAAATCTTTCTCTCACACACTGCCAACAACTTCCTTCTGGCTGTTGTAATATCCTAATTTCACAGGGGCGAAAAACAACTGTACTTGGTCCCTTGTCGAAAACTCACCTGGGACCAACCAATTCCAGTCCCCCCGGGGTGGAGGGGGGGGCAGCTCAAACCAAGACACATAGGTCTGGGCTGAGAGGGTATCAAAGGCTGTTCCTATGGAAGGGTTTGCCACACTGACACGTCCAGTTCTAATAATTCTTCTAATTAAGAATTGCTTGACATTGTTTGTAAGACAAAAAATACATATTCTGGCCATATTTAATCTGATTTGCTTCTTTTCCTTTCATTGATTAAAATCTAGCCTCTCCTGTTCATTTGGTTTGGGGTGTTCGAATTCACTTCCACTCTAATGCACTGCACTTCCTGACTGTGCATGGATAGTGGAGGGAATGGCTATCTTCCAGGAGAGTGTTTTACCAGAGAACGGAGAGACCTTTGTGACTGATAGAATATCAGAGCTATGTTAGAAGTGCTGCATTAGTGTGCTGCAATGTACATGGATAGTAAATGTGTATTTTCTTCTATTCTTAAAATTAATTGGAATATAGTTTTAGCATTGTATGTTAATAATCTGAGCCTTGCTGTTGTTGTTGTGGAGTTGTTGTTGGTTTTTGCTTTGTTTTCTTTTTCTCCTGAGAAACTGAACATCTAGCATAGCCAGTGTCTTCTCTGGTCTGTTGCCTCCTTTTTGTAACACCTGGGAGTAAAATCCCTTGGCATTCTGGTAAAGGCTAAGACAGTGAGCAAATGTGGAACATCTTGATTCAGATTCACTCTTCCGTGTTGTGCAAAGGGGTCTTGAAGCCTTAGGCTTCAATGACATGTAATAAGTGAGATAATAATGGCACATGGTTCTACTAATTATATCTATTATTATATATAATAGCCCATATAATTATGTTTATATAAAATATAATTATATATTTAATGTATTTATAAAATAAATATAAACTTTAATTTAGTATACATAGAATATCATATTGTACATAGTTTTTTATATATATGATATACATATATGGTTTATAATTAAATGAAATATGGTGGTGCAAGGCTTGATATGCAAGCAGGTAACCCCAGGCACTGGATTGTGACTAAAGTTTTAACGAAAATTTATTTTAACAGTCAAGAACGTTGCAATATGTATCTGAATGATACATGTGCTTTATGGCCTGCCTGGCCCCCCAGGTGGGAGCCTCCAGACACTTCTGTGAGAATTTTATCACTTGTAGCAAGGGAGTTCCCTCTCAGAAGACAGGTAAAGACAACATACACAGCATCCTGCACAGGAACAAATTCCTTACCTCATTAAAGCTTTTCCCTGGCAGCAAAAGTTTCCTTGAATGAGTGCTAAGCTCTGTCTCCTCTCTATTTCTTCCAAAGATGATCTGCTCATAGAGGTCAGTAGTTAATCCTTCTCTTACACTTCTGACTTCAGAAATTTACAACTTCTGCAGAGGAAAGTGTGTTGATTACATTTTAGTTATTAATATTTCTACTTCCTCTGTCAGCTTTTAAAAGCATCAGTGTATTTAATGCAGCTGAAAATATAGTGTTTGGGGTATATCCAGAGTTTTATTTTTCTAACTCTCTACATTTTTACATGAAATACAGTATTTCAAACCAATTTTATAAATTGGTTAGCTTGAAAGACTGAATAATTTGGGGAAGAAAAAGAGACCCCAGTTCTTGCCCTTGTGTCAAGCTGCCCCTTGGTCTGAATGAGCTCAGCATCCCATCTCCCCTGTGCCTAGAGGTGCCAATTTCTGACACTAGCCAGAAAATCTGCTTTGCTGACTCAGCTGGAGACTTATAGTAATAATCTACCCATGAAAGTGGTGGATCACCCAACACTGGAAACTCTTAAGATTTAGCTGGACAATTCGCTGGACCATCTTGTCAAGACTGTGTTTTTACCAAGAAAGGTCCAACGTGGTATTCATTGATTCTATGATTATTGGCATTGTCTTGGAGAAACTGTTATCTTCACTCCAGTTTGGTTACTGGGTTTGAAAAAAATCATCTTAAAATACTGTGACCGAAGATAGCTCTTTGGAGGTAGGTGTGAGCATCCCAAAGGCTTATCAGTACCATCTTATTACCACTGCTTCAGATCTCTGTGTCATAAATGCATGCTTGAGTTGTTCTATTTTCAACTAGGTCTCTCATATTTAAAAAAAAGAAAAACAAAAAAAAAATTATTCGGCAATAGAAAGTATTAATAGCATTTGTCATCTCTTGCTCCAAAGGAGGCCTTTTGGCTCATGTGTCTATGCCTCCCCCATTTTTCTGTAATCTGTTTTAATAATTGTTCTGTCTTTTGTTTTGTTCACAGCCTACATGCTGACGCAGTACCAGTTTTGTTTCCAAAAGAGGAGTTCACAGAATTACACAGTGTCTGATCCAACTAGCCGTTCTGATGATCCTCACTGGACCATGTAGGTAAAATTCAAAAAACCCTTTACACTATATCTTTGAAAGTGTTCAACGTGTTGGGAAACAGCTGATTTTTGGCAACAGTGCTGACTTTGTGGGGTCAAGGTCTTTTGGAATTTATAAACTATAGTATAACTTATTAAGTCCCTGCAACTTGTGATATATTTTGTTGTCAATAGATGCTCAAAAGTAGACTGTCATATGTCACAATGTGTTTGGTTTTCTTTCTATATCTTTTTTAAGTAGTTGTGGGTGCTGGCGACACTGTGCTGCCTATCATTCCTGTAGTTGTATCTGAGCTAACTTTAGTAGCAGCTGCAGTGGTGAAAATTTCAGCTTAGGCACAAAACCCAGGAGAGAAATGGATAAATTCCTAAGCAGCTGTTAAACCTTGAATTTCTTGTTATTACAGCCACACAGGTAGCAGAAAAAGAGCTCGCCAGATAAGAGCTAGGCTGAACAGGTTTACATGCATGAACCTCTGTTTGTCTTAAGAAGAGTAGAGGAGTACCATGGTACTGGTAGTCAGGAGAATGATGCCTTTAGGTTATTTCTGTTGATTATATTGAGCTTCTGCACAAACCTTCAAGTTTTCCATGAGTTTCAGACAAAATAAAAAATGTAGCCAATATTTCACCTTCAGGATTTCCCTGCAGAATAATTCAGTCTTGCTACAGAAGAGGTGGGAATCCAACAATTAAAATTCAATTTCTCAAAAAGTGTGGTTTTCCTTTTTGTTTTGATATTCTACCTGCATTTACTTTCAACAAGTCTCCTCCCTTTGAGCTAGAAGACCTAGGCAAAGAACTAAATGGTTCTGATTAAATTGCCAGCATTCATTATTTCTTGACTGCTTTCTCCCTTGTATGCTATGCTGTTTTATGTCTCAATTGCAGTGGCATTTATAATAATTTACATGAATTGGTAAGCTGCAGCGTTTGTGTCTATATTATAGATCATATTTCTTTTACATTCCTTACACATTCAAAGTTTTGCCTTGGTTTGCATTTCTAATTTTGTGGAAAGGAACTGTAAATTTGGATTTGTAGCAGCAGTTTAGACGGCCTGTATTTACACATGCTGGCACACTTTTTACATGGAAAACAGCTCTCATATACTTGTTTTAGGGACCTTAACACTGACAGTTTATTGTGATTGTTTTTGGAGTTTCTTGAGATTTCAGTCACTCGGTTGTGTCTGGAGAAAGCTTCTAACCAAGTCATCTCAGGAAAACATTTTAAGAGCATACTGGCTGAATCATATGGCTTCAATTTAACAAGTGTCTCAGATGAATCCTGAAACAATGCTTACTTCTGTTTTTGTATCTCAAAATTATAACATGGTATATTTTCACACTGTTACTCTGTTAGCCATATTCAGTTACATTTGATTTTGCCTTTCAAGTTGTGCTGGCCATATTCCAGCTTTAATTAGATGTTTTTTAAAGTATTTTGTGTAAGGTGAAAGGTTGTGGATTTGGGCCAATTTTTTTTTCTTTAGATGGCAGCATTTCTATGAATAAAATACTAAACACACATAATTTTTCTGGTTTGGTAGTTAAAATTAAATTTAAATTGTCATAATTCATAAGTGGGTTGCTATCTCCAGACTGGAGAACAGATTCATATTCTCTATTGTAAGTATCCAAAATCTTTCTCAATTGTAACTGATGGGGAGGAAAGCAGTCCCAAAAGACATTTATTATGCTGGAGAGGGTATCACATCTAAGGAGAATGCCTTAGTAGATATTAGCGGCACAACTATTCTTCTGCAGGAAATATCAGAGTACCTCAAAGCAACTGGAATTGAACTGTATTCAGTTTTAGTCTGAAAGGAAAGTAACAAAGAAAATACCTCAATTCATATAATTAACTTCTGCAAATTTTGTTACAGTCCACATCTCTCTTCCTGTATAAACACTTATTATTTGTCACCTAGACATTGATGTGACAGTGAGGAAACTGTGAGCAAAAAATAAAGAGTTAAAGCACCAACTCATATAATCCATTTTCAGAAAATCCATAGATTAATATCTGTTGTTTGGATTTTTTTCCTAATAATAAATTAATGTCATCAAAGCCATTCATGCAAACAAATATAATGGTTTCCTTTAGATTTACACCACACTGTCATGCTACCTCTTAAGGGATTATAGCTATAAAGAAATAATAGAATAATGTTCTTTATTACCCACATGTGCAGTGCGTTAAACAGAATTTGTCAGTTCATCTGACATGTTACATTAATCAAGAAAAACAGCATTGTCTTGCTTAGCAAAGGTACATTAGATAGACTGGGTTGTCAGAGTCTTAAAGTCTTGCCTCAAGTACAAGGATAATGGTCACTGACATACTTTTTTCATTTAATGCAAGTAATGTTTGTGCTTTAGTAGCTTTTAGCAAAGTATAGATGTTTGTAAAGGTGATGCTACAGCTTGTTTCTGTACTATATTCATAAGATTATTTAAAAACAAGCCCAATGTGTTAGAATTAATTAATATTTGTTTCATGTAGTCATAAATTTGAATATAAATATTTTAATGGATTTAAATATCTACCCGAAACTTTCTGATATTGATAAAATCTACCAACTCCATCAGAAATTTAACTCCAGAGCATGATCTTTGTTTTATAGTTACACAGAAATATTATCCTTTGAAAACAGATTCAAGCTCTTAATCTAAAGCTAGCGAGAACTAGTATTTTGATTTATTTATCTGTTTATTTATTTATAGTCTGTGGTAATAGGTTAGAGCAGAAGAGAAGCTTTGATAAAAGAAAGAAACAATTCAAAGCACTTGTAATCTGTGACTACGGCCGTCTTGAGTTCGTGCTGTAAGCAGTTGCACAGTCAGCCAAATCTTACGCTGCTTACTTGCCTGGTCCTTTTGAAGTGAGTTGCAGTGACGTTATTTCAGGAGAAGCATCACAGCTTAGACTATTGTGCATCTGTGGCTGGAGTGTTGAACTCATGGTTCATCCAGGAGGATTAGGTACTATTATACTTTAAAAAGATGATTAATGGCCAAAATTCATTTTCTAGAGGCAGTTTCCTCTTCGTATCTAGTTATTTAACCAACTCTATGCAGTGGCTATTGAAGGTGAGGAGAGCATTCCATTTATTCGTTCACAGTTGTGGCAATTTTGATTGCTTGGAGGAGAAAAGTGACACAAACTAGGCATTTGTAATTTGCATCATGAAAGAAAGTGTACTTTTTATACTAGAATTAAATTTTCAAGGATTTATTATTTAAATGAAAGATGGAAATATTTATGCATTTAAATTTGAGTATACAAAATATAATTACTCCCAGATGAAACTCCCTCTAGGGTATAGTGTGAACAATTATTCTTTCATTATGTGCATTAAAAACTCAAGTGAAGTGATTATGGCTGAGTTCCATTCCCTCTGAAAAAACATAACTTTTATCAACAAAGATCTTTCAATAACTTCTTTCAGAGGAAGAACCATTAGTGTGCAGAACAACAAATTTCTATTTCCTCTGGCATTTTGAAAAATCTTTGGTTTTCTTGTCACGCACTTCACCAGACAGATCATGTTTAACTTGTGAGGACTGACTAGTTTGCAGCTGTAGGTGGTATGTGAGATACAGACTTCAGGAAGAGCATGATTTCCATAACCACTTCAAAGGAAATACATTATAAATAAAGTACATTTCTCTAGGGACTTGCAAAACCATTCTGTTTATAATTTAAATTACATTAAGCTAAATAAAATAGTACAACAAAACCCTCAAGAGAAAAATACTTCATTTAAGTTTGAACATTACATTACTTCCATTAATTGGAAGTATTTTACTCTCTCTCTAATAGTTTATTTTTTATTGAATATATATAATTAAAAGTATTGTCATTACAACAACAATTCTTTCCCCTTTTGTGTTCCAAGCCCTTCTGTTCAGTAGATCACTATAGTTTTATTTGCCTGCATTTCATTATTTCTCACGGCTTTATTACGGGTGACTAACCCGTGCCAGACAATTACCTTCGCTGTGTCGTGCATGTTCAAATTTATCAAACTCATACTGGAACTGAGTCTCTCAACCAGCCTGAAGTTTTGTGGCGAAACAAAGTGGCAAAAAGGTGAAGAGAGTGAATCTTTCTTCTGTTGGAATGTTTTTTAAAGTCTGCTCATCCAAGCTATGATGCTTGCTTCTTCCAAAGTGCTTGCAGAACTAACTTGAGCATAGGCTTGCAACACAAACAACAGAATCCATTAGTCTCCCTATTCTATAAAGGCAACTTGGAGGCAGAGGGGAACCTGATAGGATATGACTATAATATGTCTTCCAGGAGAGGATGACTAAGAAAGTCTTGGAAAACCTCAGTGAGCTATCTAATTGTAAGAGTATTTTATTCCACCTTCCTTTTTCACCCTGTGACAAGAGACCCTACAGGCTGAACCAAATCAGGCTATCATTCCTAACAGAATGGAGGGCAGTCAATCTGCAGTGCCCAGCTCCTCTAATATTGACAGCTTTGCAATATGGGTTTCTGTAGTAATAGTCTAAGCACATATAAGCTTACAGAAGCTGAAACAGGTTGTATAATAAAAGCAGTCCAGTCCCCTATGCAATACTTATTCTCACTTTAGTGTCAACTTTACAGTGGCCACTAACTTCAAATTAATCTTTATTTAGGGTCTAAAGCGTGCTTTTTGTTTCATATAGATGAATTTCAAGTGATTAAAATATTTTTATGTGGAAAAATAAATCTTTGCAGCTAAATATTAACAGTATTGAAATATATAAAAAAAGAAAAAAGTCGTGCACACATATTTCCTTAATTTATAAAATTAAGGATTTTTTTTTAAGCACACTTTTAAAAAGCGATAGTAATTAAAACTAATGCTGGATTGAAGAAAAACTTTGATGATCTGAGAGTTTCATGTTAGGCTGAGTAGCCCTTGAGGAAAAAAGATACTACAAAATATGAAAGCTTAGACATATTTTCTATTAACTCAGAACCTGAAAGTTTTATGA